CCCCCACCCCGCCCGCCCGCCCGCGCGCGGTTCAATCCACAGTGCTCCGTTCTGCCTGCCTGCCTGCCTTCTTCGTTTCGGAGCAGCTTCGGCTGATAAAAAGAGGCGAATAGTTATTATTCTCAGCCGAAGCTGCTCCCAAACAACCAGACAGGCAGGCAGGCAGAACGGAGCACTGTGGATTGAACCGCGAGCGGGCGGGCGGGGTGGGGGTGAAACGGGTGCTTCGGGGAAGCTGCGGCGACAGGAAAAGCCACCCCCCCCGGCTTCTTTGAAGCGAGGCGGGAGGAAACCGAAGCCGCTGAGCCACAGAACAGGACAGGCTTCGGTTGCTTCCTCCCTCCCCTTCTTTCATTTGTGTCCTTGATCCCCGATCCCAGCAGCATTCACCGAAGGCGAAGAAAGCCGCCATTTTTTTTAAATTTTATTTTCTTTGCGGCCCGGTAAAGAGTGCTCCACGGCCCGGTACCGGTCCGCGGCCCGGTGGTTGAGGACCCCTGATGTAATTTGTTCTGTCAACACAGATATTCATAGCCTCATGTGAAACCTGTGTTGTATGGAATTATGTGAAGTTACATCTGAAATCTCTCTACTCTCCCACCCCCCCCATCTTATTTTCTACAAGATATCACTAATCTGCAACCTTTCAAAATATTTTTTTCTCACTTATTCTTTCCAGAATGTTTTTTAAAATCATTCTTAAAAGATCATTGTCTAGAGATTATTAAATTGTATTCCACCAAAAGATTGGAATAGGTTGCAATACATTTTTATTTTATTGCTTTATTCCATTAAATAGAACTAAGGCCGTGTGTGTGTGTGCTTTTTTTTTTTTTTAATGTGAGAGATAAATGAGTGTAATTCTGCTCCCTGTTCTACTTCTCATCTCCAGCCCCTTTGCAATGGCTTCTGGCCAAGTGATGATGTCACAGGAACCCAATTCAGGTCCCCATTCATCCTGGAAGTTCAATCTCCGGATGTTGGTGGGCTGTTTCCCATCTTTCAGCAAAACCAACTTCCTTGTATTATTGTGAACATTAAAAGGAGCAGGAAAACTAACATCCGACTGATGTTCCTTGAAGAACAGGTGTTGGAATTGAATTAATAAAAAGCTTGCCTGCCTTTTCTTCCAAACATTTCCCCCACAATCATGTGTCAGTACCCATATTTCTTATAGCCATATTGGTGAAGCTGCTGATCAAAGCACATATTTAGAGCACTGTCTTGGGCTCACAAGAGAAATTTTCTAAAAATGACAAGTTAAATAATGTAGACAGCTTAAAAAAAATACATAAATTTTAATTGAGCTGCAAAATCTTTTGAGTTTATTGGAAATCAGAGCTTCTGGCACAAATTTCCAGGCACTCTGAGCTCTGGCACAAGAACTGAACCACTGCCAACCCCTTACCTGCTTCCACTGCCTTTTTCTTGCCATCCTCTCTTGTCTTTGAGGATACCAAGTCTTCCTCTTCCTGCCCAGAGTTACAGCCTTAATTTAGTTGTGGAGCATACACTTTGCATGCCAAACATCTTTGATCCACTTCAACACTGGTATCTCCTGTTAAAAAGAGGAATATTAGTCATCAGGAAGAGCCACAGCCTGTTTAGGTGGATAGTATCAGACTGGCTGGATTAGCAGCTTCAGTTGGGCATAGGGTAGCTGCTTCTTAAGAAGGAAACAATAGTTCACTGTTATTTTAAAAAAGTTGCTTCCAAACTTGTCTTCCCCCCAATAATTTTGTTAAAGATGATATTATACTGATAAAACTAATACAAATACATAGTACAGAAATATATTTAAAAAATAAAAAATTTCAAAGGTAGAAACCCCCCCCCTCCTCCTTCATCCCCAGCAGGTATAATCAACATTAACAACTTTATCTCTTAAAATATATCTGAATATTACCTTGTTCCATTCCTTGCTCCATTCTCTATAAGCCCATCTCTTAAATCTCATTTCTCTATATTAATCAAAAGTCCAGTAAGATTTACCAGAAATAACAAGTATTACAAACTATAAGAGGCTGTAAAAATATCACTCCTTGCCATTTATTCACAAAAATCTTCAGCTGTTTGGAATACATCTGGGCAATCTCAAGATGTCTCCTTGCTTGGGGGAGAATTTTCAGCAATCCAGACTCAGCATCCTGCTGCCATTTGGCCAAAATGTTTCCTGCTGTCTGTGGAATGTCAGTTTGCTGTTCCTTACCAAAAGCGGGGAGGAGGGGGGGGGGATGCTTACAAATTTCTTGACTAAAAACAACAAAACCTGCAATCCTCTGTATTCTCATTATTCCTGTTTGCATAGAGGATAATGGAAGCCACAAACCCAGTGGAGGATGCAAAATTGGAGATGGTCATATTACAGTGTTCCAATTAATAACCTGCAATTAAAATAATTACGAGCAAGGATGTGAGCTCAAACACTTTCCTCCCCAAAGAAATACGATAGGAATACATTTAATATGGGAGCCCATGGCTTAGATATTCTGTATGTGAGGTTTTGGTGGTAGAAGAGATGGTGTGTTCCTTGTTCTTGAAGCCCTGCATTGCTGTGGTTACAAACTGGTTGAGATCGTAATAATTGTTATATAAGAAAAGGGGTCAAACAGCCAGGAGATATTTATCTGAAGCATCTGTATTTTTTTAAAAATGTGTTGTGATATTTGTCATTTGTTGGAGGGGGAGACGATCCACAAATATTCAATAAAACTGACTTGGCATTCAATACCTGCCTCATATGGAATAAAGAAACTTTAGAGGAAAGTGTAAATGTTTGCCTTTATTTTGCAGT